TGATGCATAATGAATGGATAACAATTTTGGCTCTGATTTTCTGATGATCCGTTTTGACCAAATATTTGTAACCAAAGCAATTATTTGGATTGAAATTTTTTTTCTTTTTGATTTCATCTTTGATTATCTCATCGTTGTCGAAATGGTTTCGAAATTTTTCTTTTTGGTTCAACTCACGTAACTTGTTTTTTCCTTTTTTCTTTTTCGTTACTGGTTAGTTTTTTTTCATCATTATCATCATCAGATAGACAGAATGTTGTTGTTGTTTTTTTCCCATTTGTTTTTCATCATTGAAATTGACATATAAATGTAATCCAGACCAAAAGAAAAACGAACATTGAAATCTGGAATCTTTGCTCTTGTCACGATTCATTGATACTTATGGCAATCACTTTAATTTTTTTTTCGTGGCTATCTTTTCCTACTTGTTTTCCTTCGTTTATTTTGATTATTATAATTTCCTTTTACTATTAGTATTGATTGATTAATTTTGATGATAATTTTATTTTGTTTTGAGATTTATTTATTCATTTTTAATTTTTTTTCTTCCATACATAGTGAAAGTATATAGTCCCAAAAAGATAAAGCTTTCAAAAAACAAAAAACAATTGGCCATTTCAATTTGTAATTACTTTTTTTTTCTACACCAATTTCCAATGATGATGATGATGATCAAAATCACTGGTGTAATACACACAAAGATTCTATTAGTAATTCACTGACTACGATATCATTTGCTTGTATCCAATCCAGAAAAAACACAATAATTAAATCTTTGTTATCATTCTAAAGGGAATATTCTCTTTCTCTCTCTCTCATCATTTGGTAATCATTGTTTTTTCACTATAATCACAATGTTGTTGTTGTTGTGCTTGTAAAATGGCTTAATATTAGCCAATGATATTTCAATTTTCTGATGAAACAAAGTTGAAAAAAAACATTATCATTGTTTTTTTTTTTGGATAACGACTTTTCATACAATAACTACTAGCGCGACCAACATAAGATGTTACTGTTTTTTCTTTTGTTTTTTTCCTTTTTTTTTGAAATGAAACAAACAGAATCAACAACAACAAAAAAACTAAATTAAAAATGAAGAATCTTAAAGAATTGACAAAAAAAAAGTCCAAAAAACAAAACAAACGCATTCAAGAACTTGATCAGAAAAAAAGCAATGGAAAATCTTTTTCTGGAAAAAAAGATGAACCAAAAACTTTGATTTATTTTTATTGCCAACTAATGGATCTCTATCCTTTTTTCTCTCTCTCTTTCTCTCACACAATCCGTTATTGTTGTTGTTGTCGTTATTATTATTGTTGTTGTTGTCGTTATTATTATTGTTGTTGTTGTTTTGGATGTATAGTGTTGTTGTTCAGGAACCAATGATGGAACCAGAAACAAACAGAAAAAAGATACACACATTTCTCATACAATAACTACATACACACACTTAACTGAATATTACATAACAACAACAATAACAATGTTCAACTTGCTCATTTGTCAATCTGATAATTCAAGCAAGCCCAAAAAAAGACAAAACAAAACCTCTAAACATACAATAGTAAAAGAAAAGATGTTTATAAATAATAATAATAATAATAGTACAAAACATACAGACCATCATCATCATCATCGAAACAACAACGGAAAACAATATTTAATCCAGAAGAAAATAATAATAAAAACTTTAAATGTATCATATGGAAAATGTGGAAAAAGAAAATGGAAAAGTGTTGAAAAAAAAATTGTTCGATTCATTTTCTTCATTTCATTTCTTTTCGGTGTGAATCAATCATTTTTTCTTCTTCGCAATTTCTCTATCATCAACCATATAAATAAATGTATGAGATAAATTTTGTGTAAATTCAAACACACAAACACCTGACATTATTCTTTTTCTGTTATCTTTTTTCTTTCAATGTGTTTTTTTTTTTGGTTCAAATTCTCAATCATCATCATCATCATAATTGTTTCGTTTTGAACAAAATTTTCATTTTATTTTCAATCGAATCGACAAATTACTCCGATTCTATTGTGTGTTTGTGTGTTTGATGAAAGATATTCATCGAGAATGTGTGGATGCCACTTTTTCTTCACTCGATCTTTTATATAGAATTTCTGTTTCCAAGAATTATTCCAATACATGTCTTTTGGATAATTAAATTCTTTTTCACTTGTTTTGACATTAAATGTCGTTACAATTTTTTTTTGTTCGGCTGACAATTCATTTACGAAATACCCGGTCCAAATTGTTTTTCATTGATTCTATTTTCATTTAATAAGTAATAAATGTAATGGTCATGTAAGAATCATAATAATAATAATAATAATTACCGTTATTATTATAATGACAATAACAAACACAGTTAGAAATGAAAAACTAAAAGTTATTGGTCAACAACCTTATTATATAACTTAATTAGTCATTCATTCATTCATTCTTTGTTAAATTATTATTTTGTTTGATGGTCATTATCAATAATTTTTTCATCATCATCATTATTGAACTGTAAACTTTTTTTAGATTTTAATGTTTGCTAAACCATCGAATGTGTACATCGATAATCGATAATCAGAAACAGATTGATGAATCTTGATTTCCTAATTTAAAATTGATTATGAGTGATAATGTTTGTGTGAATCATCAACGATTCTATAGAGAAATCAAGAAATATCTCTATGCTTTCTACCATAAACTTTTCATACAAAAATGTCAATTTTTAACTTTTTATTTTTTCCATGATTCAAAACATTTTTTGTATTTATATAATGATTGTTGTTGTAACATTTATCGTCGTCGTCATCGTCGTTGTCGTATTCGTATCCAAATGAAAATTGTTCAAGAATCACATTTTCATCACTGTTTAGAAAATTGCTTGCTTTCAAAAATGTGTGTGTGTGTTTTTGTGTGTGTAAAAAGAAAAAAGTTTACTTTAATTTAGCCACTTTATCTCGTCAGAAAGTTCCATTGTCGCTATCAGGAAACATTTTCTTTTTGGTTCTTTTTCCATTCAGGCTAATCATCGTGTATCATTGACAGTAAGTGTTGTATCAGAGTGTTTGTCAGAGTAGCTCAGACTAACTAAGAAATCACCAATAGGGAATTTCAATTCAAAATGATGCAAAATGATGATGGTGGTGGTGGTGGTGGGGGGAGTAAAGAATATTGTAGGTGAATGGGAAAAAAAGACCGACCAATTTAATTCGATACGAACAAAAAAAAACATTGCTCGCACATCATGTTTCATCAATCGAAGTTATAAAAAAAAAAAGTTAAATTTCAAAATGATTCGATTTGATCTTCTTTGAAAGTTGGTGAGTGAGTTGGGAGTGAGAGAAAAAAATGGCTTAAATGACATTAAAACGGAATGAATTTTTTTTTTGGGAAATTTACTAAAAAAAACTGGTTACTTGGTATCAACATAGAAAAAAAAGAAGAAAAAGAAAAGAAAAACCGATTGGTGAGTTTCGATAAAACAAAAACATATTCTTTTGGTATTGATGTTTAAAAGTTGTGAATATACAATCCAAAAAACAAAAAAAGTTTCACAATCATTTTATATGGAAATGATCATCAATGATGATGATGCATAACATTTTTAAAAGTAAATTTTTCATCCAATACAAAAAAAAAAAAAAAAAAAAAAAAATAAAAAACATTCATCTAATTGTCAAGTTGTCGAAATAAGAAAGAAAGAAAGAAAGAAACTCTTTTATC